TAATATTCGAAAAACCTAGCACCACCAAATTCCCAGTACTCAAAATCATCAACCAACGAAACAGAACCAAACGAAAGAAAGCCCAACGAAAGCAAACCCACGAAACTAATGAAAAAAATCAATAAAAACGAAAAAAAAATAAAAAACTCACGTAAACCGTATCCCAGTCCTAGCAGTCCAAGAAGGACCACAACGATCGTCCTGTCGATCATCCCGCGTCGTCGATCCTATCCTCGTCAACAACACTGGTGTCTAGTGTCCCGCTAGATCAGCAGCTGGTCCGCGCGTGGTAGCCTCAGAAGTGACACTCCAGCCCCGAGATCGGCGTTCATCGAGATTAAAAGGAACGATCGGCGAGCGTGGTGTGTCGGCCGGGTCTCTCGGTTGGCCACCGGTAGCAAAAAGGAGGTTCCCTCGCGACTCTCCGCTTGGCCCGGCTTCGGGGGGGAAAGTGTTCCTCTCTTTGTCTATCGTGCGAGAAAAACGGGCGTGGGGGATCAAAGGAGGACGAAGGATCCTTCGAGTTCGAGAGCGCGTTCCGCACTGAACCTTTCCGAGGATTCGTCGCTCTCTTAGTAAACCCTACCTGATCGGATGGGAAGGCGCGCACACAGCCGTACGCTCGCGACTAGTACGCACACGCTCGCGGAGGCTGAGGGACAAGGTTCGAGGGAGATGGCAGATTACACGTAGACCGGGGATCGGACATCGTGGGGGAGCGAGAGATCGGTCGCAGGGCATTACGAGCGTTGGGACCAGGCGGATTACCGGATGCCCGGGTGGGGTACCCGGACTGGCCCAGATCGGGACACTTTCCGTGTTACACGTACGCCACCAGGTTAAAAATAGGATGACTCGTGGCTCCTTCGCGGTTTAGCTCTGATGCAGCCGTGGCGACGCGTTGCCGATTATTTATAGGAGCCTGTGCACTCGATGGTGTCTCAGGAGAGACATGAAACTGTTTTTCAATGAAACTTTATGCATCTTGTGGTGCGTGTCTAAAAACGAAGGACTCTGGAGGATTTTTTCATGATGGTTCTACGTTTTTGAACGGGTGACCTTTAACCCTTAGCAGTCCTATGTCGACTCAGACTCGACATTCTATTTTACTGCAACCTCTATCTGTTTTAACCATGTTTTCTGTGTTTATTTGTAGTATCACAATTGTACCATTTAAAGGTAACATTTCAATGATTCCCAAATATTCTTGAATAAATAAATAGAGCGTCATATTAAGCTGTAATTGAATGAACTAACGTCGACGTGAACCTCGAAGTGAGAAACCAAAAGCACTTCGGACCGCAAAGGGTTAAGTTTGTATGTTACTGTAGTAAGATGATAAATGTGAGATGTTCAGAGATTATCATTCAAAGGAAAAGAAAAGGATTCATGAGGTTTGGAAGTTAACCCCTTGGCCTATGATGTATTTCTCAACTCTGGTCGATACGGCTGCTTTGTCATTAATAATTCATTGAAAAAAGAGAAAAATTCTAAGGATATATGCCTATATTTCCTTTTAAGTATGATAGTTGATTACAGAGGAATAATATTCACTTTGAATTCGAATGAATTGAGTAACAATTTGTTGAACCATGTTGAAAATCTTCACGAGTCTAACTCGTTGTAGGATAAGGGGTTAACTTCAGCGTCATAGCCGAAGATGCTACCTTAATGTAGTAAGCTTCTAGTAGAATTGGAGAAGTTCCAGGTTCTTGGTCATGCAAGATGGTTAAAATACTAGAATACTTTGTGACTCATGGAATGTAGTGTCCAGAGGTATTCTGATTACAGCTTTGAACAGTGATACCATGTGGTTGTCATAGTTTGCCACGTTCGAACTGGTTTCTGCATGAATCATTGGAGACTTTGCAAATGGACAGTGATATTTGTTACTTTTCTGGTATTTATAATAGGATTCTATAAATTTTCGTCGTAAATATCTTGCGTGCCTATGTACGGTCAATGATTAATGATTGAATAATGCAACAAAGCGATCGACGTGCACTATGAAGATGAAAAATTCATGAGACCGGAAGGTAAGTTTCTAGGATTTAGGTGAAGGTGAGTAACAATCGAAAAGATTAAACTTGTTTCTAGATTGAATCCATCCCAGGTTGGACAGTGTCATGTTAACCGAGAGGTTGAAGAAAAGAGAATGTCTGCCATTTTAAGCCATCGTTTTCACTTTCAGCGAACTAGGGTCCTGGCTTGAACCTTTGGTCAACGTTCAGAACAGAATCTCTCAGCCATAATAATCTCTCTGACCTAATTTATTTTACACAGGTCGATTCTCTGTCGAATTCAATTAAAACACGATAAAGGGGATAATATTTTAATGATACTTCGAAAAAACTGGTCGCCAGGTTCTTAAGGATTGCTGTAATATAAAACGATTGATAATTACGTTAATTTAATCCTTCGTGTCCTTCGTATTCATTCATATTTATCTTTTATTAATACCAGTATTTTCAATACTTCAAGGAGAAATACTTCGTATTTGGATATTTCAATACTTTTTTACAGGCAGTAAAATATAAATAGATATATTACAAGGGAAACGAAAGAAATCGAAATTTTTTCAAAATCTAAGTACACTCGGTGCATGGCGACAGTTTCAATGAAAGATACTCGGAGTATCTTCGGGACACAGAATTAATGTCAGAGAGCAATAAAAGAATTCGCCACACGGACAAATACTAAACAGCGCCTACAATAACCATAAAATGACAATAAAAAGTTGGCAGCGAACGTTACGAAAGCACCCTTAAATCGACAATTAATCTGCCGTAATTTGTTCGTAATTTCGCATTCCACGTGGGACTGGTGTACCGTTGAACGACGCTGCTGTCGCGCCATTGACAACGACAATCAACGCTTTCTCCGACACGATGTTTGCTCTGTCATTAATTCACTTCTCGTGCCGGGAGAAAAATGATCTCGTTAACATAGTCTCCGTTTCATGAATCTCCGCGATCCGTACAGGAGAAGTTCAGGGTTCAAGTGGGCCGCGGGGTGTAAACAGTTTGCGTCACGGGCAATCGAGAACGTTGACGAAGTTAAGTATTAACACTTGTACGTTGCTAGCCGATGGGTCTCCGCAGACCCAGAAACTATTCTCTTGCATCCATTCTCTTCCTTCGTTATTGTAACAGTAAAAGGTTTCACTCGTTGTACTGAAGATTTATTTCTTGCATAATTGATCAATACTTCGATATATCAATTTTCTTTGTATACGTGATCAATCGTATTTCATTAATACTTCCGAAACACGAATCTACTAATTGGATCTCCTTTTTAACCCTTTGCACTCGAGAGGTGACTCCCAGGCACCGCCTGATTTGATGAAGTAAAATTATAAAATTTGATTGCTGAGAGCTTTGTTTCTCAATTTACTTGAGTTAATTTCAAAAGATATCATCTTCGTCTAGTTAGAAAATGTTAAGTATTTCCAACGAAATACTTCCGAGTGCACAGGGTTAACTCATTGCGTACTGGTAACGAGAAATCTCGAGAAATGTGTTAATCAAAATTACAAAGTATCTAGTAGATTAGAATAATTCAGAACAAGCAAAGTAAACATTAAATTACATTCTTACAGTTATGTCTTTCGTCTAACATAAATAGTTCATTATAAATCAAAAAATTCCAGAAGACAGATATTGATCAAGACATCAAACGTAAAGAAAGTTGTATTGTAACGAATTCTCTTTGAGAAGAAGGTGCTAGTGACCTACAATACGAAACGACTTTTTCGTTTTAGATTGAATGGTTTTTTGCAAGGGATCTACGAAGATGAAGATCATACCTGTATCACGGTCGATCGGAACCACGCGCCGCAACCGACAGGCTCGGACTACCATAAGTAATACGAATCCTCGTTCTCATGATGCAGCACGTGTTTACCCGTTCGTCCGGTATCCAGGATAAACCGAGCTGCCGCTAGATTAATCACCGATGTATGCTAATCGGCGACGATCACCGTTGCACCGATGCAGCACGTTACGTCAGCGTGCGTCTCGCGTATTATTGTCACGCCGGAGATATTACGAATTCATGCGCGCCGCTCTTTTCAATTGTTCGCACCCTCGCGGGCCAGCGGTTGGTCATTGTTAATTATTGATCGGTGGTCTCTCAATTGGGCAATCGTTTCTGGAGAAAAGTGAGCCTTGCATCGAAGCTTTCCAGTTTCTCTGCAAGAGCTTTTTCTACAAAGATTCCGAAGAGAATTGATAGAATTTGTAGACGCGTAGGTTAATATTGATGTAAACTTCATGGATGTGCGTGTATATGTATGGGTGTGGCGTGCATGTATGCGTTGTTTCGAATAAACGCAAAAAAAAGAAAAGATATTTAAAAAACGATGTTTGTTTTGACAACAAAAGTAATAAATTATCATCGTTTAAATGAACGTCTATAAATCTTTGAATAATTCCCTCTGAAAATTTATCGAATTCCGTTCCAACTGTATATGTTGTTTTATGTTTTGATATTAGGTTCATTTCGTGAACTGCAAGGTGATCATAGAACTTTCGATAACCGTCTAATTTTCAAGGAAATGAAGAATTTCTGTATAGAGTGTGTTAAACGTGTAAATTTACGTCGATCACGTAGTCAGTTTATTTTAAGACAATATGTGTTCAAAACTATGTGCAGGCTATAAAAATACAAATCTGACGGCATTGTTTATGGAAACGTGTAGGAAACGCCGCCGGCTACTTATCGCCGCTGTAAAACAATGGCGGTTTAAAGATCAGGCATTACGATGCTTCAGAAATTCGCGAAATCGTGTTGATAGATTGATCAAGGTGATAACCAAAAAAGGGTCGATACCTCGGCGACTGGATATCGATAGATCGTTGGAGGGAGATCGTCGTCAACTGATCGTGAGAACTGTTCTTTCTGCGGATAAGCGGACTACATCGATTTCATTCTTAGAAAACAGTGTCCTTATGGTCTCTAGAACAAAATCTAAGAAATCATCATTGATTCAATTCAATCGATTCATTCACCTTCTACTAATCCAGTATTCATTCAAATCTTAACAAATTCACCCATTTACCACAATTCACCCTCGAAATGAATAAATATTAGCTACTCGTATATACAATTACATTAAAAGATGTTTTCCAGAAAACCATGAATCACACAATTCCCAGAGACATACAAAAATTCAACAGAACCTCTAATCGAAATTGAAAAAAAGAATTTGATCGATGTCGATGACCCAATCGTGTTCTACGGCGTTTAGTCATCGACTGATAGAGTGATAATGACTGCAGCCGGTCGTGTTTGTACCGCGGTCACGTGACGCGACGCGTCGTTCGCCGACGAATATCCGAGGCCCACGGTCTGAAAAGAAGACGGACGATCAGGTGAATCATCGTCAATAAGGCCGCGCCGCGAATATCCAGGTCTGCGTATATATTTCACGGCGTTGCAGTTTCTTCCTACGAGTTACGTCACTCCGCCGAGAGGGACGACAAAGCGGGTCTCCTCCGTGGTCTGTCGCGGCGCGCGATTTCCGTGGCGTCCGCGCGAAAAAACGATTGCCACACGGAATCGACACTCCTCATACGCAAT